GTCAGTTGTGTGTAGGTCTGGAAAGAATGCCTGATTCCGCAGTCCGTATATCAGGGTTCTGAGCAGTAACATCAGTTAGTTCTATTTCTCTGTTTTCATATTGTCATGTCAGGATGAGGGAGTTGGTCTCTCTGATTTCCAGATTCTTTGAGTCAACGATGTAATGGAATTTCCAGGCTAATTCCAGTAATGTTTTGCTTTTTAGTTCAAAAGAAAAGAGTAATATTGCTAATGAACCAATTTCTTTTATGTCCCAATCAGTGCCTTATCATATAACGTGACAGCTGATTTGTTCTTTGTGAAAACTGTTCTGTGTTAGCACCAACTTTCATTGTAGGGAGCGATTTAGATATTTCTAGAGGAGGTGTAAGGCATTTGAATCCAAACCTGAACCTTGTGGTGAGTTTCAATTCTCCTTAATATACTGCTTTTAGAAAAGCAATTTTTCTTTCCCTGGCTTTTTCAGGTCCTTGCACATAGCCGGCACTCAATAAATATTTATTGAATGGAATTGAATTTGACCTGCTTAGAAGTCGTAGTCCTGATGTAGGGTTATTCATTTCAGTGGGAGCTGTCATAAATCACAGGGCTTAATAGTAATCCAGCTGATGGACTGCGCACTCAGCGGCTTACTGTAGTAGTTCAGTATTGTATGTTGCGCTTTCCTAGGTGCAAATTTAGAGAACAGCATCGTTTACAGGGCTTTAATGAACTGACTCCTGCCCATTTCAGATCTCCTGTACCACTCACAGCTTTCCTATGCTCCCACCTTTTAAAATAACTGCGTTTGTTCTTAACACGCTTTGCTCTCTGGCACATCTTAAGCCTTTGCCACAACCCTTTGTGTGTGCTGGAAGGTAGTTTTAGGTTTGCCTTTCTTGAAACTCTCCTGTGGATATGAGGGAGCTGCTGCTTTTCTCCTGTAGCACTTTGTACTCTCCCCCATCATGGCACTAAATTCTCCTGTAATTCTTTCTTAAGCCACCAATCTTTCCCAGTAGACAACTCCTTGAGGGCAGGTCTGTGATTTATTCCTTTCTGTGTTCCCAAAAGCCCGAAACAATCACTGACATGTACATGTTTGTGGAATTAACAAATGGGTCCTGAAGTTCATGTAAATTTGCAAATGGAATGAAATAAAAATGTAAATGTGTTTAGCAGAGATCATTAATTATATGCCTAATTCTAATTAAATTGTGGCATAGTTAGAAAGACTGTCACCCTAAGATTCAGAAGATGCAGAATCTTGTGTTGGATTAATGATTTTTTAAATAGTCCTTTAATCTTTGTAGTTCTTAGTTTTGTTATCTGGAAATGAATGGATTGGATAGGATCATTGCTAAGATGCCTTGAAGCAAGAATTACATTGTTCCTAAGTTAATTATAGAGAACTAGGTCTCTCTGCCAGGCTCCTGGAGTCAGGAAGTATGTTCCAGCCATCTATAATTTGCAGGCACTAAGCTCAGTACCTGGTAGATAGTAGTTAGTCAAACAGCTTTACCTGATAAAGCAATAAATTCTCACATGGAATTAGAATTTTAAATACAGCAAATGAGGAAAAGGTCAGGTAGAGAATAGTGAAATAAATATTTCTAAAACTGAAAATTACCTATCAAAGAACAGTTATACAGTATGTCTGAAAAAGCACATGAGGGAATTTTTCTTATTTGTCAGTTAAAAAGTTCACTAGTAGAAGAAGTGGGTTTGAAGGTTGGTCCTCCACCTACAAGTTAATAATTAGTTAATCTGTGACATATACCAAGTTTTATGTTGCTGAAATTAAACTGTGCTATATGATATTGGTAGTGGCAGTATTTTTGAAATTTATGTACAGGGGTAATTACAGAAGTTTTGAGATACACAAAAATCAAGAAAAATCTGGGTGGACAGAAACAGACGAAGCCCTCTCAGCAACACGGACAAGCCAAGCACATTGAAACTTTCATGGGTGAATTAGAAAGATGAATATCAGCTGTGTTTCTTGGAGACGAAATAGTGAACCGTAACACATTCTGTTTCAAAGCTTTCGTAGTGACCCATGAATACTTGTGATAGTATCTTTGGTTGAAAGTGTTGTAAGAAACATCCAATTTCAGCCAGGATTTGTTAAATCATTGATATATTTGGGCCTTAATCTCTGGATCTAAATGACCTTTTCTCAATGTATCAACATATATTACAAATAAAAGGGAGTAACAATCTTATCAGTCCTTTTAGCTATACTTCTGTAAATATTTGGCCTTACTTAATACATGAGATACCACCTTCTCTCTGCAAGAAGTTTCTTGGAGATGAAAATAATATTTTTTGTTAAATTAAACCTATTCATTTGGGTCATTAATTTAAATACTTCATACATATAGGGTTCAATTATGAAAATAAGGGACATAATACAGTCAAACTGTGTGTGTAAGAAAAAATTACGTATCAGCCAATCTATCCGTTCATCTATTTATTACTTGTGTACTCAACAGTTCTGCTTTAGGTGTTGTATACAAAGAGGAAAAAGATATATTAATACTCTAGATTAATGTGAAAAATATTGTCTATAGCCAGGTATCCTCAAACTACAGCCCGCAGGCCACGACCACATGCGGCCTGCCCAGGACATTTATCTGGCCTGCCAGGTGTTTTTGCTGCTACTGCCTGTCCTGCTTAGCAGCCGACTCCTCCCGGCCCGCAGTCTGACCCTCCAATGGTCTGAGGGACAGTGAACTGGCCCCCTGTTTAAAAAGTTTGAGGACCCCTGGCTCTAAGCTATCTTAAATTGGGGGCCGATGCTTAGTAATTTGAGCTAGATTTTTCTCCCCAGGGGGGAGTGGGAGAAGAAAGATTTTTTTTTTTAAATAAAGCAAATGTGATAGTAAGTATAAGTATGCTTTCTTCATCTGTTGTTTTTTTGATTTATTGTGTTGTGTTGTGGTTCTTGATATTAGTTTAACTGTTTTTGTTTGCCCCAGGAGCTTTTATGAGTGCCTGGGCAGATCCATGTTTGTAATGGAATGTATTTGCATGAAATGTAAATAATTTGAAGGGATCCTTGTAGAGGTATAGAATATAGAAGTACAAGCACAGAAGTGGGTATGAAAGTAAATTTTCTTTATTATCACTTTTAAAAAGTTGGTAAATCTACACACATCAGAAATAAACTGGACTAGTTTTTGACTCTGTACATCTTATACTTGGATTTCTTTTATCACCCACATGTACTTGTAGTCCTGGGTACCATGAGACAGTTGCCTTGAATTGAACCTTACCATTCCTGTGGTAGGCTAAGTTAGCATTGTGGGGACTTGAAGTATTCCCCAAACCACCCTTTTAAAAAATATTCTTAAAATTGAAAAAATTTTTTTTTACATATTTAAAGTATACAGTGTGACATTTTGATACCTACACACATAATGAAATGCCTACTATGTGCAAACAAATTAGCGTATCTGTCACCTCCCATAATTACCTTTTTGTGGTGGTAATAGTATTTCAAATCCATTCTTTTGGCAGATTTTCAGTACACATGCAATATATTGAACTGTAGTCCTTGTACTATATATTAGATCTCTGGGTATTTTATCTTCCATAACTGCAAATTTGTACACTTTTACCTGTTTCTCTTCATTTTGTCCTCCTCCCTGCTTGGTGACCATATTCTTTTCCCTGTTTCTATTTATTTAATTTATTTTGGTACTTATTTCTGTTGAGACAGAGTCTTACTCTGGTAGAGTGCTGTGGTGTCAGAGCTCATGGCAACCTCAAAGTCTGTGTTTAAGCGATCCTCTTGCCTCAGCCACCCCAGTAGCTGGGACTATAGGTACCTGCCATGATGCCCAGCTAGTTTTTCTATTTTTGGTAGAGATGGGGTCTTGTTCTTGCTCAGCCTGGTCTCGAACTCCTAAGCTCAAGCAATCTGCCTGCTGCAGCCTCCCAGAGTGCTAAGATTATAGGCCTGTTTCTATTTATTTGATTTCCTTTTTTGCAGATGCTGCATGTAAGTAAATTCATACAGCATATTTCTGTGCCTGGATTTTTTTATTTTTACTGGGACAGTTGACAGTAATTAAACTATTTATAGAAGTCTTGGGGGAGGGAAGTCATAATGGAAAAAGACAGAAATTTTAACCAATTGTATTTAAATATCTCGCTCTTGAAAATTTTACCAAAAAAAGAAACGTGATTATGGGTTTAGAAGAGGACTATGCATCTAGGGGACCCAGAGCTTAGGCTTCATTAGTTTCTTGGTAAATCTGCCTTGAAGATGCAGGAGGCTTAATTACTCTTGGCTAAATCACATTAATATATAGACGCAAATATAATACAATAGTTGAAATACTACCTTTTCTTGCTGGCAAGAATTATCTTTGGTTCTGTAAAGAGACTTAAATACCCCAGTAGCTGGGTGGCATCTGATGGAATGATTGAATTGTTATATGCCACATTCATAGGCTTGGCAGACAACAGGGGAGGTGGAAAAAACCCATTTAGACCCGACACCCATTATTCTTTAATAATTTGGCTATTAAAATTGAACATCTTTGTTTTAAGCTCCTCAGGATTCAGGAACAGTACACCAAAACATTAATTAAAATCTATGCGTGAGCTTTAACTAGTTAGGCATTCAATGTAGTAAAATAATGTTTAAGTAGTAGACATTTGTTGCCAGAAGAAAAGGCCCATTTCCTCATTTTTATTTTTAAAAAAAGACTATCAGTTATATACAGTGATTGGTACACTGAAGCCTCTTAAGCTATGGATGAAACTTTAAGGGTTGAAAATGAGGATATGATACAGAAAAAACTGAATGGAAGAAAAAGATGAAATGACTTAATTGTTCTAAGACAAATGCATTTGCCAGTTCTTAGTAAATTGGAGATAATGTAATGTTACCATTAAATTTATAATATGGGAAATGAAGAAATAGGTTAGAGTTCTATAAGTTTCTCATTTTCATGTGGAAGAAAATATTATGGCTTATACAAATAATATTATATTGTTGTCTTTTTTAGGTGAGACTGTGCCAAAATCCCAAACTTCAGTTGAAAAATAGCCCACCATATATACTTGATATTTTGCCTGACACATATCAGCATTTACGACTTATATTGAGTAAATATGATGACAACCAGAAACTTGCTCAGCTCAGCGAGAATGAATATTTTAAAATCTACATTGATAGCCTAATGAAAAAGTCTAAACGGGCAATAAGACTCTTTAAAGAAGGCAAAGAGAGGATGTATGAAGAACAGTCACAGGACAGGTAAGAATAGTTCAGACCTTTTCCCTTGGTGTTGAGGTCATTTATGTTGCTTTTTGCCTCATAGTTAACATAAATGTCACCATGTAATTGTTTTGGGGGGGAAGGCCATTCACTTTGTATGCAATTATATGCTGCTTAACAATGAGGACACTTTCTGAGAAGTGTATCTTTGGGTGATATCATCCTTGTGGGAATATCATCAAGTGTACTTACACAAGCCTAGATGGGATTGCCTGCTGTACCTGTGTGTGCTATGTGGCTCCTAGGTTACAAACCTGTACAGCACCTTACTGTACTGAATGCAGTGGCAATTGAACGCGGGGGTAAGTATTTGTCTATCTAAACCTAGAAAAGGTATGGTAAAAAATATATAAAAAATATAAAATAGTACACTTGTGTAGGATACTTAACATGAGTGGAGCTTACAGGACTGGAAGTTGCTCTGGGTAAGTTGAAATGAGTGAGTGATGAGTGAATGGGAAGGCCTCGGACGTGACCACACACTGCTGTAGACTTTTTAAAGACTGGGCACTTAGGCTGCAGTAAAGTCATAAAAGTATTTTTCTTTCTGCCATGATAAATTAACCTTAGCTTACTGTCACTTTATAAACTTTGAAGTTTTTGTAACTTTGGACGATTCTGTAGTAATATTTAGTTTGAAATACCCATTGTATAGCTGAACACAACTATTTTCTTTCTTTACATTATTCTCTAAGTTTATAGATTTATTTTTTCTTACTTTTTAAACTTTTTTTGTTTGAAATTAAAACACAAACATGCACACTAGCCTAAACCTAAACAGAGGGACTGTCCTCAGTGTCACTGTCTTTCTCCTCAACCTCTTGTCCTTTGGAAGGCCTGTGGGGCAGTGACAGAAATGGAGCTGTCTTCTTTAATAAGAATGCCTTCTTATCAAATCCTTCCTGCAGGACCTGTCTGAGACTATTTTACGGTTACATTTTTTTTTTTTTAATAAGCAAGAGTCAGGTATAGTGGTGGCTCACACCTAAAATCTTAGCCCTCTTGGAGGCTGAGGGAGGAATCTCACTTGAGGTCAGGAGTTCGAGACTAGACGGAGCAAGAGCAGGACACTGTCTCTACTAAAAATAGAAAAATTAAGTGGGCATTGCGGTGGGCACCTGTAGTCTCAGCTACTGGGGAGGCTGAGGTAGGAGGATCTCTTGAACCTAGGAGTTTGAGGTTGCTGTGTGTTAAGCTGATACCAGGGCACGCTAACTGGGACAACAGAGTGAAACTCTATCTTAAAAAAAAATAGACAGAGTAATGTAAAATAATAATAAAAAGTATGATATATACATATTCTATAAATAAACACATAAACCGGTTATATAGTTGTTCATTGTCATTATCAAGTAATATGGTAATTGAGCAGTTTTAGGTTTATAGAAAAATTATTCAGAAGTACAGAGAGTGGCCATAAATCTCTCCCCTCCCCACAGTTTTTCCTGTTCACATCTTGCATTAGTGTGGTACATTTGATACAGTTGAGGAGCCAATATTGATATGTTATTATGAAAGTCAGGTTCACGCTTCATGTTTCACTGTTCTGTGGTTCACAAATGCATCACGAAATTAAACACAAACATGCACACTGGCTTAAACCTAAACAGAGTGAATGTCCATTATAGTATCACATAGAATAGTTCAGGGCCCTAAAAATGCCCTGTGCTCCCCTTGAACTCCGAGCACCTGAACTCCAGTCTCTGTAGTTTGCTTTCTTCATGGTGATGTATGGTTATGCTCATACATGTCCATAAGTCAATTTTCAGACAAGATTCTTTTACTCAACAATACGCATTTGTGGTTCCTCCATGTCTTTTCATAGCTTGATAACTCACTGCTTTATGTCACTTTATGATGTGCATGGTGTGTAGCTGTGACACAGTTTGCTTTTCCTGTCACGTGTTGAAGAACATCTTGGTCACTTCCAAGTTTTGGCAATCGTGTGTGAACTTGCTAGGGATATTTGTATGCAGGTTTGTGTATAGACTGAAGCTTTTAATTCTTTTGAGTAAATGCCTAGCAGTTGTATGGAATGCCTGCGTTTAGCTTTGTGAGAGCCTCCTAGACCATATCCCGGGTAGCTAGACTATTTTGGCTTCTTACCAGCAATGGAGGAGAGTTCCTGGTGCTCCACAGCCATCGGAGACAGTGTCTTTCAGACACAGTTTGATTGAATCTGTGGATGTGATAGATGTGGGTGGGAGATAGAGCTTCAATCTCTGTGGTTTTATTTAAGTGAGAAATTGGATTGGGATGGAAAAGGTGGTAGTGACATCATCCAGATCCTCACTCAAGACACTTCAGATTTGTTGTTTAGCTATTTGATGTTAAAATTCAGGAGCTATCTTAAATAAGGAAAATTATAGAGTTTTCTATATCTGGGAATACTTTAAATGTATCTAGAATACTGACTAGGATAGTATATTTAGATTTTTAAATTGGAAATCAATATTTATTAAAATGTATAATGTCTTAACATATTAGTTAAATTGAATTTTAGTTGAAGACTTTTAACCTCCTGGTATTTCAGTTTTCTTATGTGTAGGAAAACCTCTCTGAAACCAATGATACTTTTTTCAGGTCAGAAAAACTAGCCTCATTTAGTCTAATAAAGCATAGGGTTGTATAATAGAAAATCTAGGGGGGAAAAAGGAAATTAAGTTATCTAGGTATGTGGGCTCCAAAGTTGTTGGTAAATCCTGGTCAAGCAAATACCCAGAGCCAGTAAAACCTTCAAATTCTTTTTTTCTGCAGTTTTTTTTGGCGGGGCTGGGTTTGAACCTGCTACCTCTGGCATATAGGGCTGGCGCCTTACTCCTTTGAGCCACACGCACTGCCCTGTAAAACCTTCAAATTCAAACCTAGAAGAGCTGCCTGCCAAATGTAAAATGGCAGAAATGTTTACATATGTGTAATTTGCTCTCTAAATTAGTGATGCACTGGTCGTAAAAGTCTAACCATCACTTTATAAGGCTCATTTTGAGGGTGGTGAATCTTCTAGTTGCCTTTTAGCTTTAAAGTTTTAACAGGACCAACAAGGGGAAATATTGAGAAATATTTTAGTGATTATTTATTTGTGCAGACTTGCCAAGAATGGCCACTGTTTGGGGAAAATAGATGTTTATGCTAACATTTTGTATTTCTTGGATTTTCATTGAATTCATAAAAAGAAGATGTTTTATACATATCTTTATAATTCTCATTTAGACTTCAGTAGTCATGAAATCCTTCCTGATCTATCTGAGCCATCTATTATATTTTACTTTTTAGATTATTAGGGCATTGATGAGGTAGGTATGTTATTTTTCAGTCTAGGAAAAATACTAGATGAGTGGATGTAGTGTTTTAACTGGATATGATATGTGCTTTGGTCAACTTACAATTTACTTTCATATCTTCTGTGGAAACTTGAAACATTTCTTGACTAAATAAATGTCTAATAATTACCATCCTTTGGTAATTGATAATTACCAAATATCAATTATTTTGATATTTGTGCTTTTTGATGTGGAAGCATTTCATAGGATACTTTAACATTTTGGTTGATTATGTATAAATTTCCATAAATGCTGATAGATCTCACGTCACTGACCAATCATGACGAGGCCACGCTGTAACTCTGTATTCTTGTCTGTGTTTTAAGTGTCTACATGAATTTTGTTCACTGTCTTAAATTCAACGCTAAGACAAAATTCATTAGTTTCTGTGCTAGTATAGCATACCCCTAATGAGATTTTTCTGCCATCACTGTTAGATAGGGTTCTGTAGCTAGCTGTGTTTATGTGAAACTTAGATTTGATAAATCTCTAATCATAATTCATAATAATGTGCCATTCTTGGTTCACCATAACAACCACATAGACTTTTGAATTATGTTTTTTTTTTTTTTTTTTTTTTGTCTGCTGGTGGTGTATTTGTACACATTCACTTCTAGGTTCCCTTAGGAATTCAGATGCAAACTGAACCTAAAGTGGGCTAGTGCACATGGAACTCAGGCATTTTGCTGTACAGAACACCAAAGAATCTTCATGGCATGTTCTGTGGTAGCTAGGCAACAGAGAATACCGTGTGGTAAAATGACTCTACCCAGCATGAACCACACACTGGTTATTGGGAATGTTATAAATTATTGGAACACTCTTTTCTCTTATTCTATAAATAGTTAACTAGGGACTTTGGTATTAATTACTAAGCTAAAAATGAAGGACAGGCATAATAGAAACCGTTCTTGGGAGATCCTCGACCCGATCAGTATTCTCCAACTTGTGCTGGATGAATACCTGAATCGAAATGTTTCTTTCAAAGTTCCTGCATCTCTCTCGTGGCCACAATAAACTTCTCTGTGGATTTATTTTACATATAAGGGTAAATGGGAAAATAAAATCAGGCATCATTTCTGACCTGGCTCTTCTTTAATTGATTTGCTAAAGAATGAGTAGCCAGATTTTTTAATGCAATTTTACATAAAATTATAATAAGAGAAAAATAAATAAATGAATGGCACTGAGCATATTTCCTAGTTACCTACATTCTGTGTAAAAACAGAGAGGGAGAAATTATACTTAGGTAAATGTATTTGCTGTTGAAATAGAGGTTTAGGGCATAGTGAAAGCTTCTTGCCTTTGAGTGGGCAGAGGAATGACTTGCAGTGGAGGAAAGGCCTGAGCAGGCTGCTGCCTTCTCTGAGTGTTACTGGAATCCTCCTCTTGTATCACTTTTCCCAAGTGTTTTTTTTTTTTTTTTTCCTACAAGCAGTTGAACCTCACACTGAGTTGGTGCTTCTCCAGCTGAGTTTCTAAACCATTCTGAGCTGGCATTTCTGGGAAGAGTAATTCAGTGATTTCTGGAAAGGATAAAGTTTGTGCGTGTTTGGGGGTGGGGCCAGAGGATAGGGAACATGTGGAGAAGTCTGTAGTTTGAAGCACAGAGGAAAGGAAAAACTTTCTATCTTATTGCTTAAAGCCTCAGTGGCCAAA